ACCTTTAAGACAGAGTCAACTGTGAAATAGACCATTAATACAGTTACGGTGTTTGGGGACAGTTATTGGTGTAGAGGGAGTGCACATTTACTTATGTGCAAATTAACTGTAAAATACCTAATCGATAGCATTAATTTATCTACCATACACACACCATTTATTTTAAGTGTCACCATGAAAATTTGAGTCTAAACCTTTACCCTTGAGATTCTTTGGAATCTTTCAGCCATCAGCAGTTATGCATTGTGTCATGGGGCAAACCTAGTTTCCATCCTTTTTAACAACTTTGCAAAGGACGGTGTGATTTCAAGGCAAATGGATGGAGGTTATAGCTTGATCTATATCAACTGTATGGTTAAATTCATAGGTTTTGTTTTTGTTTTTGCTTAATTGAATTAGTTCTCTCCAGAGATTTCTCTTAAAAGTCAGCCTCAGCCTCTGACAGATAGACCACAGGCAGGTAAGTGGGAGGTCTGCTTGAAACATGACTTGTCAACACCTACCTCTATTAGATTTGAAAATTCTGTGAATCACTGGAAGGTGTTTAGTGATTTTCACTGCCTTTAATCGCACTGCCCAGAAAGTGCAGATCATTCTCCGCATATGTTGTAACTTTTTCCTGTAGTCTGACATCACAGTACAACCTTTCTGGGGACATTTTGAACAATTAGTAGGTATCAGAATTCAGTGTAAGATTAAAAATATGGTGCTAACACTCATCCGGGAGGCCAGTCTGAACAGATCTACCTCTGCACCCTGCCGAGTTCACACACATACTGGCAGTCATGACTCTGTCACAGATTATTTTTCTTCCTAAGAGCCAGAAAGTTCTCTCTGACATCCCTTGTAATACACATCCAGATTTCAGAATCATTAGAATAGGAAACAGTGTTCCTCTTAGTATTAAGGAAGTAGAGCAATTAACGTTTCAGAGGACAAGTATCTCCTGTATAAACACAAGAAAGACCTGAGCTGTGAGCGTTCGCTGGGTCCCTGCTACCTACCTGTCTCCCCCTTCTGCTCTTTCCCTTCCTCCCTCTTCCTCTATGTTCTTTCTTCCTCTCACCCTCCTGTATAGTTGGTTTTATGTGTGTGACTCTCTCCCCCTGTTTATTTGTATCTTTCTGTCTGGTAAAAAACAAACTTGGTACTGTCCGCGTGAGGATTTGTACTACAAACTGTAATAGGACACTTTGGAGAGAAAGTATCTATTTACTCCAAGTCTATAGCTGGGGTGACCATACACCCAGCCCAGAGCGACCTGGGTATGCCTGATTGTCCCACGTAATTATTAATCGGGCTCTGTTTAGCTCGCAAAAGGGTCGAGTTGACTGATCAACTGTATGAACAGATATGGAGCCCCAATCAATCACAAAATGCTGCTTCTGAGCAAGTGCCGGGAAAGTCCTCATGTCCATCAGCACAGGTGATGAGGACAGGGAGGGGTCATTTTCCTCTTAATGGAAGGAGGAAAGGAGATTGGATATAAGTTACTCAAGGGAACTAAAGAAAGGTATTTGGAGGCCTCCACTGGGAAGGAAAAACCGACACTTGCAGACAGACCTGAGGGGCAAGAAATCAAGTGGTGATGGCAACAGAGAGGCAGACCTGGACCGGAGCAGGCAGGAAGCCGGGCAGGCGCCCCTGGGTGTGCAGCAACCCTGTGGGGCCGGCGCGTCACTCCCGCAGGGTCAGAAATCTGTGTTTTATGAATGTCACAGTGGCTCTGGTGCCCCTGTTTTCCTGACTCTTTTCCTTTGGGGCTTCCGTCGGTGCTTGGCAGTGTTATTTAAAGAGATGGCAGGTGCTCCGCTACACAACTACACAAAGGCTTTTCTCTACCCGGAGGCTGGATTTCAGGAGTGGAACATCATATTCTCGGGAACCAAGATCCCACTGGAGCACCGGGGATCACAACCGACAGGGGAGGCAAAACCCACCAGGTCACATCCTGGCCGTTTAGATACTTTAAAACTGAGCCAGGTTCCATGCATGGTTTAAGGAGCAGAATACTCCTTTACCGTCCCTTCATGTCCATTGGCTTTCCTCTCCCCCTGCTCTCCCGTCCACGTTTTTTCTATTTCGTCTTTCCGTCTCATCCAACCTCCTCCCAGCCCTCTCTCTCCATTGACTGCAATACATCTTCGAGAGAATTTGATGGCCCCGTCTTAATTGTAAGGATAAACAAATTGAGAAATTGAGTATTTTACATTGTCTCTAAATGGAATCAGAGGGAAAATGATGTTGATTTTGAACTCAGATATTTTTAATTTATTTCCTCTTAAATTCATATGTCACTAGCTGTCTATGTAAAAATCACTTTTATTCTAGTGTTTAGGTGTTTAGTAGTCTTCTCTCCCTCTCTCCTTCCCTCCCTCTCTCTCTCTCATAGTTTGGCTACAGTCTTTAAGCATGAAGCTTAAAAACCAAGCTCCGTCGTACATGGGGGAGGCCAGGGAAGCGTGTCACCTGCTAGGTGTGCGCCGTGTGTGTTGGGGGGAATTGCACTCAGACAGGCTGAGCAGGGTATTCTAGAGACCATTCAATCACCTCTTCACCAGATATTTCCTGGGTGTCTACAGGGTCCCAGATGCCACCAGGGGGTTCAATGATGAGAGAGATGATTAGAT